ACCACCCTTTTTTCTTGTTAGCATGCAGGCCAGAGAAATCTGTATTAACAGGTAACCAGTGCTTGATTCTTCCCATACCCATGGTGCTGTAAAATCAAGTAACTCAAGTAACTGAAATGAAATAAATAAGGCTCATTAAGATTAACATAATTAGAGTCCAACCAACCAAAATATACATCTGTGTAATCTTGTGAAATCAATTTTTTGCTAATGTTATGAAACAGAACTCCCTAGGGAAGTGGTTTATATTAGATAGTTAAGGCATCTGTTTGCTTTCTATAAGTGCAATAGTGTAGCTTGGTGGAGTACTCATTGGTTTTACTTCTTAAAACAGTTATGGTCAAATGAGTACATGGTGATTTTGCTTTTCTGTAATATTAGATAATTTCCACCAATTTTCATGATTTTTTTCCAACAGTGTTTCTTATTAATATGGTATAAAAAAGAACTTTCAACTAATGTTGCCAGTCTATTTAAGATCATAGAAATAAGGGAATTGCACAGAAAGAGCATATTGTTTCCAGTTGTGACAGCCTTACAGTCACTGTAAATCTTTTCAATTGTGTATTAAACACATTAAATAAGTTATCTGGGTTTAATTCTGGAATTATATTCAGAACCTGACATTGTGCACCACTTTCTGCTACAAGAGCTACACCCACTGCTACACCACGGTCCAGTCTGCCACCATCTCTTGGTAGACTAGTGCAATAACTCCTAATTGGTCTCTGCTCCAACTCTTGCCTCCTGATAGCAGTTACAGGAAACTCTAATAAAAGAAAAATTAAACCTCATCATTTCTCTACTCAAATCCCTCCACATTTCCCATTACATTTAAAATGCACTCTCTCTACTGTGGCTTCCGAGGCCTTACAAGATACCTGGGCCTGGTCTCTCTAAGCCATCCCTGATTTCCTTTTACTTACAGTGCTGCAGCCAACCCAAATTTCTTTTGTCCCTTGTTCATAATAAGCTTTCTCTTATCCTAGGGCCCTACACTGATAGAAGGAGGAATCACACAAGCTTCACTTTGTGTCTCCTAACCTTGATTTATTTTTATTTGTAGTACTTAAGTATTACCTGCAATTATGTGGATTACTTTTCTCCCTCTTTCTGTTTCCAAAGGACGTAGACTTTGTCAATCTTGTTGATACCTGTAGCCCAGAATCAAGAAGAGTACCTGCTCAGAGAATATTTTAGGATCAGTGAAAGGACAGATGAATGGATGAAAGACAAAGAGGATATTGACCACTCACATCTTTGGAGAGTCCACTGTAGAATTCACTCATTACCTTGAGATCTATGATATCATTCATCACTGAGATGTTTTTTACTTGCTTGGAATCAGTACTTTGTTATTTTTCTCACTGACTACCTAATCTAATTATGTCCTTTTTTAAATTTAAATTGTGTTGAAAAACATTTTTGTAGAGCATGTAAAGACCCAGTAATCATCACTGTTTTTAATGAGTAGGGGAATGGTTTTTTAGCATTGCTGTTATGCACAGTCCTCCCTGACACAAAGTCATTTAGATGTTTCCTCTTTTCTATTATCATAGCACTTTGGATATGACTGTTTACACTCAGTTTGCTGGGTGGTGATTATTGCTGTTTATATCTGTCTTACTCATATTGCCTAGCAGATACAATCTACTCAATGATGGATAATAGTGATTGGGTGAATGTGTGGGAGAAGGGAGGTAGATAGATTAAACACTGACACAGTGGAAAGCAGTTTCTCTGCAGGATTTGTTTAATGGTGGGGTCACCAAGTACCACTCCTCCCTGTAACTGGCCAGTGTCAGGACTTTAGAACAATGATAGTGTTATGGAGAACATAGAACCTACAAACAATAAGCCTGGACCTTCATTACCACCATGTTTTAACCACTGAGTAAAAACCACATATAGACCATTACAGGAAATTTTGGTAGAATAATAATTTTAAACACCATGGAATTTATTAGCAGTCAGAACATACAATTTCAGGTACTATCTCTATTACTGACTACTCACCATCTGTGCCTCAGTTTGCTGACTTGTGATATTAATATTATGGTTCGGTTCCTTTTCATAATGTAAATAGAGGTTGAGCTGAATTGAATTAAGAGCTTGTGTTAGATGCAAGTAAGAGAATATATATGTTGAAGGTGATATATAAATTACAAAGTATGATAAAACTCTTAGGCCATTATGACTATTATTTTAATCTTCAGCCTCCGCTACTCTGGCAACCATGACGTGCGTTATCATTAGCAACGGGAAGGTTGCAGAAGTTCAAGAAAGTGAAGTCAACTAATAAAATTACTCATGCATAGTTAACAATAGTTAACATTGTCCAAAAGTCACTTCATCCATTTCCAGATGCTCCAGCAGTTATAATATAATCTAACAGAGTAACAACATAAAAATGGCAGTGTAATAAAGAAGAATGATTGAGCTGGAGTACTCTGGCTATTAAAATTGCACTTCCAGAGATGGCTCTGAGGTTTATGTTGCAAACATAATGGCCGGCTATACTGATTCGTCCACTCAAGCTTTAAGCTGAGTTTACAAAGAAAATCTAGAAGACCTAATGGATTTCCAATCAACTCAATAAAAGTTTTATCATAAATCATATTATTGATGAGTGTAAAAGAGATTTATAATTAAATTCTAAGTTGTTTGTTGGCATACTCAAGGTAATTGCATTGTGTCCTATCCACTTAGGCTTTACAATGGAAGATAGGGCTTTTTTGATAGCCCCAATTTACATAACTTGTTTTGTAGATTCCTAAATACTCAAATAGTGAATTTAAGGAAAGGCCAAAGAAAAGGAATATATATTTCTTCAGTACCTGGTGTTTTCAAGTCACATATATTATCCTACTTACTCCTTGGAATTGGAGGATTTTATTATTTCAAATTTTCAACTTAAGAAAATACAAATGACCCACTGCCATTAAGTTAATAAGTGACATAACCAGGGTTTTAACTTGGGTTTGCTGAAACCAATATTAGTTCTAATTCTACTACATCAGGCTCCTTACTTCAACATATTAAATGATTTTCTTAAGCTTTGAGACTCTTTTTTTTTTAAAATATAACATCTTTCTTGAGAAAATAATTCACATACCATACAATTTACCCATGCAGAGTGTACACCTCAATAGGTTTTAGTATGTTCAAAGAGATTTGCACCCATCCCTATAATTAATTTTAGAACATTTCATCACCTCAAAAAGAAACCCCATCCCTATTAGCAGCCACCTGTTATTCTTGCCCCAATTCCACAAGCCATAGGCAACCACTAATTTACTTTCTGTCTCTAGGTTATTCTGGAGTTCATGTAAATGGAATCATACAATATTTAGTCTTTTGTGACTGATTTTTTTTCACTTAGTAAAGTGTTTCCAGGGTTCATCCAGCTTTTAGCATTATTCAGTACTTGATTCCTTTTTATTGCTGAGTAGCTTTCCATACATTGTATGGACAAACTGTACTTTATTCATCAGTTGATGCACATTTGGATGTTTTCACTTTTTTGGTTATTATGAATAATGCTGCTATAAGCAATGGTGTACAAATTTACTTGTGTGTGTTAACTTACAGTTTTATTTCTCTTGAGTACATACCCAGAAGTAGAATGTGGGGTCATATGGTAGCTCTGTGTTAAAACTCCTGAAGATCTTCCAGACCTTTTCCACAGCAGCTGCACCATTTTTCATTCCCACTGGCAGTATAGCCATCCTAGTGGGTGTGAAGGTGTCTCATTGTGGCTTTAATAGGGATTTCCCTGATAGCTAATGGTGTTGAGCATCTTTTCAAGTGTTTGTTGGCCACTTGTGTATCTTCTGTGGAGAAATGTCTATTCAGATCCTTTGTCCATCTCTAATCTGGGTTGTCTGTTTATTAGTGAGTTGTAAGATCACACACACACACACACACACACACACACACACACACACACATACACACACCTTATCAGAGATAAGATTTGTAAACATTTTCCCCGTTCTGTGGATGGTCTTTACACTTTCTGAATGGTGCCCTTTGAAGCACAGAGCTCTTAATTTTGATGAAATCCAATTTGTCTCTTCCTTTTTAAGGGGCTATGTCTTTTTTTTCTTTTTTTTTAATATATCTTTATTGATTACAGAGAGAGGAAAGGAGAGGGAGAGAGAGAGACAGAAACATCAACGATGAGAGAGTCATTGATCAAGCCCGCAACCCAGGCATGTGCCCTGACCAGGAATCGAACCCTGATCACCTGGATCCTAGGTCGATGCTCAACCGCTGAGCCACGCCCAGCAGGGCTAAGGGGATATGTCTTCCTTGCTACTGAGAACAGCAACAGTTTCATTTCTCATAAACAAATTATCCTGTTGTCTACTCCAGCAGAAAGTTGTTAAATGTTTTTGTTTTTTGTCTATATTTCTTAATAATTGCATTTCCTGGATTTTTAGACACTATACATTGACGTGAGAGAGACCCGTCAATTGGTTGCTTCCTGCACACACCCCAACTAGGGATCGAACCTGCACCCCAGGTCTATGTGCCTTTGACTGGGAATCAAACCCATGAACCTTTAGTGTACAGACTGATGCTCTAACCACTGAGCAACACTGGCCAGGGCATCAAACAAACACTTTTTAATTAAGCAAATAAATGCTTAGGAATCTTGAATTCTTACAAATATCTCTACCTTCAAGTTCAGAAGAGGAGATGTCCAATAAAATTTGCAAAATTCTAATTTTATTTTCAAAAAGCTTAAGTACATTAAGTATCAGAGTTGCATTTAATTCTTATGAAAGTTACTTTAGTGTCAGTATTCATCCACTAACAGGCAAGGTCTCATGTTGGTAAATTTTTTTGGCTTACTTGTTGATGGGTGGGTCATAAGAAAATTATACTTGTCTGAGCCTTGGAAAAACTTGGAAAAAAGAAAAATTAATATGTGTAAAGAGAGAGAAAAGGAAAAAGGATAAGAGTAGATTTAGTTGTCGTGTGTCTCCTTTTAGCCCTAGGAGAAGATAAGGATGACTTGGAGGGGTCAGAGCACGCCAGCTATGACCGATCCCGGCTAATCAAAGATTCTGTTCCCAAAGAGAATTCTGAATCCAAGAAGAGATTGCCTAAGGTAATGTCAATTAAACTATCAGTACCCATTTAAAGACTGTAACTTATAGAACCTTTCAATTTTCTCAATAGTAATCTGTATCGTGTTGGGGAGTGTAAGAGGGCACACAGTTTTAATACACGTCTATGGACTCAAAGTTGAAAAGTAATGTGTAGACACCACATTTATTTTTATTATCCAGCAGAATTTTTAGAAACAATCTGAAATGTAAAATTATGCAGTAATCCTTTATTTAGGGGGTTATTCCATCACTTTTAGTGTTTTTTTGAAAGGCTAGGTATGGTTTAGTGAATAAATGAATTTTAGTATCAAATAAACCAAGATTTGAATTTCATTTCCACTGTTTACTAATTGTGTTAACTTGAGCAGGTTAAACTCACTTAGCCTTGGTTATGTGTAAGCTGCTATGTACAAACCTCGGTGCTGTAGGACAGAGAAAGATGGCAGACACAGGCAGGTTTTGCTGTCCAGGTGCTGGGATGCAGTTCAGAATGCATGCGTGTAAGTGGAGGAAGCCAAGAGCTCTGGAAATTAGAGATGACACTACATGTGGGGTAAGTCAAGATTTAGCTAACCTGAAGCTTTATAATAGAAACCATATTTAAATATCTCAGAGGCATTGTGGTAGATAGAAAACTGATCATAATACCCTGAGATAGACAAAAAAAAAAAAAAATCAGTAACATGAAGCTGAAAACCATCAAACAGCTGAATGAACAAGCGGCAACTGGAAAAACACTAGAAAAAAATCAGTTGGAGAAAATTCAGAAAGAGAAAGCCCTTCTCCAAGAGCAGGAAGATTTGGAATTGGATATTTGAAGATTCACAGAAAGAAAATTGATGACTAGAAATCAGCACAAACATATTTTCTGTTGAGTTCATTGGTGTATACGAATATCTATGTGCCCACACCTAATATTCATCTGTAATTTAACCATTTATCCAAGATTCCACATCTGTGTGAAATTATTTAATAATGCCTATTAAATTGATTTTTGCATCCTGCATACTACATCGTGTCAATGTATGATATCAAAAAGGACATGAATTTTCTAGTTATGCTTGAAAGACAGATTGAAAGATAAATGTCATTGTTTTTTAGATGAGGACAGTATTCATCATATAAATAAAGACAACTTAAATTTATAAAGAAAAATTGGCCACAGTTCTTTTTTTTCTGTATCCAGTCTATTTTCAATGAGACTTTTCAGGTCCTCCCATCAAAAGGTGGAAAACTCTTGGCCTGGCCTTGGGTCTTGTTTTGGCCAATAGACTGCTACAGAAGTAAAAATGTGCCAGCGCTGAACTTTATACTCTAAAGATCTTGCACTACCATTCTTTCTGTTGGGACTCGGCCTCTACCAGGTGAACAAGTCAGAGCTGGTCTGCCAGAAGATGAGACTATGTGGTCCAGAACCTAGTGAGCTCAGTTGCCCAACTGAGCCAGAGATATGAGAAATTCAGTGGCAAAGACCAGGAAACACAGACTCATGAAAAAGTCCAGCTGAAACCAGAAGAACTAACTACCAGGCTTGGCCCAATCTACCCACAGAATCATGAGCTAAATAAAACGTGGTTTTGTGTGGTTGTTTCTTAGCAATAGCTAATGGAGACACCCATAACGTTAAAAGGTAGCCTGTTGGCTGGTATCAATGACTGCTAATAAAAAGTGATATTTTTATCAGTTACTGGGAATATTTGCGAAATTGTCCCTGAGTTTTTCACATCATGCTCATTCTATCCACTTAACCTAAATCATGTGGTAACTAGGCAACCTATCTAAAACTTTCTGAAAATTACCTTTTTTTAAAATTCTGCTTACAAGAGTGCTTTCTTTGTGATAACATTAAATTAGGGCAAAATTCCAAGATTACTTTCAATTGAACTATATTTGTATAGTTAGCAGCAATCACAAACACCCAATAAAAGTAGTGAACTAATTTTTTAAAAGCAAGTTCATTTCATTTCAACATTTTTGCAAAAATGTTCCATCACAGTTGTGTGGATAAGAAATCCAGGAAGCAAATCTGTAATGTAAGAAAAGCGACAATTTTATAAATTCATAGACTGGAGTACCTGAGCTGTCTGCAAGCAAAGTTCTTGAGTAGAGAAGGATTTTTTTTAAATAGTTTGGGTAAGTATCACCTTTCTCTGTCATGTTAACATAGAGAGCACTGTGAATAACATTTGAAGATAAGGTCCTGTAGCCAACTGGATGATCTGCAGAAGCAAAATCCTCCTCTGTCAAAGAGCCAATCCTCATATACCAGCTGAGGCCTCTAGATGCGAACAATGTATAAGGAATGTCTACAGTTAATCTGGGTTAGAAAGAATAAACTTGTGAAGCAGAATCCATGATTTCTGTTGTAGCCATTAGTGAAGAGTTTACTGCTGCAACTATCTCTTGGGATGCCAACAATGACTACAGATGTTGCTAGTAATGAGTCTAGGAGTATGAATCTATATTCCAAATGACAGTGGTGCATCCTGTTACAGAATGTTGGATATCAAATTAGACAGAAAAGGGGTTATGGACCAGGAAAACCTTGGCATGAATATTTTAGCAGTTCATTAAATTTAAATCACAAGGGCATTCAGTTTGACTATCAACTGGCATTGGCAGATGGTGTTCATCTTTAACTCAGTTGATAATAGGAATAACTTTCTGTTAAGAGTGGACACACTGATCATTGGGCGGAGAAGGTGAGAGGGAGATGGCCTCTGTGGTCTTTTATACTGTACCTTTCATGTGGGCATTGGCTACTATTTCACTTGCCTTCGTGGCTCTTTACCTCTAAATCATATATAGGGATTAATATTCTGAACTTGCATATTTTTCCCAGCAATTGGGGAATAATGATGACAAACTACAAGTTAAAGGACCGAACTTGACCTTATATGACTGCTTTAACTGACAAAATTATACATCAAATTAAATGTTGGTTATTTGCACTTATTGTGGTAGTTATTTTCTAAGGAAAATGTTAATACTTCACTAACTTTAGGACTTGAAATCACATTTCTTATGTCTAATAATAGCATTATGGGAAATGATACCCTAATACTTAATTTTCATATAAAATATGGACATAGAGCAAATCATCTTGGTTTATTCATCTCTCTGGCCAGTGTTTTAAGTTTATTTTCTTGCCTAGTATTGAGAAAACTCCTTTTCCAACAGCCCAAAGGATACCTGGTCTTTCTGCAGAGTCTTTGATACTGAGGAGGGTATTATCCTCCCTGTGATCATTGGAGGCATCTCCCTCCTTTATGCCATTTAAATGCTTACTTTAACCCTCAGAAGCCCATCCTAGAAATTGGTGAGAATATGTTCTATACTAGCTGACTGCTAGTGCATATTTTCCAGAAAATTTAGTATAAGATTTTCCAGAATTCTTCCACATTATCTGTGGATTGCTTAAATCCAAAAGTGTGTGTTATGATAGAGGTAACTCAGTAAAGAAATATCAATCCTTCAAAAAATGTGCAAATGTTCTCAGAAGAACTAGTCGATTATTCAGAGGGAATTAAAATATTTTTAGATACCTCCCTCACATCTTACACCAAAAAGAATTGAAGGGCTAAATAGTTAATAAATTCTAAATTAATATATAAAAATAAAATATGCATATTTTTAAGTCACATAATTTAAAAAATCACCCTTCTAAATGGCTTCTGTAAACCAGCAATAAAATTAATCATGGAAAGCTTGATAGATTTGACTATTTAGATACTAATCAGTATTAAAATTACAATAAAATTTAAAAGTAAGATATAAGCTTTTACACATGGTAATAAGCTGACATACTGGGATATACATGTATATAAGGATGGCTAATATTCCTAATCTGCAAAGATGTCATAATTACATAACTAATAAGAGCAAGAGAAAAAATTATTGAAAAACAATATAATTTTATTATGTCAAATGATTAGCAGTACTAATAACTGCAGAAATAAAAATGTAAGCAATGTTCTTTTAAACCAAATTAGAAAACATTTTAAAAGAAGATAAAACCCAGAATTGAAATATAAACTTTCAATTTTATTTCTTGCTGGTAGGTGTGTATATTGACCCAAATTTTCTGGAATACAATTTGACAACAAGCATTAAAAGCCTTAAAATAATCTTGCTCTTTGACCCACTCTAGGAATTTATCCAGAGAATGTAATTAAATGTTAACCCAAATAATTATGTTTAAGGATGTTTCTCACACTGTAATTTGTGAGGAATGGAAGGGAATAAAGCACTTAAATGTTCAAGAATAAAAGATGAAATTAAAAATAGAAATGCCTTCAAACAAGACAGTTGAAAGATACTCTCTTCCCCCAGTGTGGTTATATAAGGTGGTTACAAAAAACAATATATGAAGTTTCATACCAATTATATAAAAATGTCTAGCTCTTTTTCATTGAGAAATGCTTAGAATTATGTACAGCACATTTTTATAGTGTTTATAACTGGATGGCAAAATTCAAATGGCATAAAGTTTATTTCACATTACTTCATATTTACTTCAATTATTCTTAATTTTAAGCCACAAGTATTATATTATCTTTTCTATTTTTACATTTTACATGGCTAGTAAATGACTGAACTAAGATTTAAAATAAGATGGTTCTGTTTCCCAAGCGTGTTTGTCTACTTTGCTACACTGGCTAGACAAGAGCAGTTCAGGACTTTACCTGTTTAGCCTGGTAACCGTCATAGGTAGCATTTCAGTTAGTCCCCCTAATATGCATTGATCACTTACAAACCAAAAGCTGTTTAAAGGTCTTTGTATCCCACATCTCATGTAATTCTCATAGTAACTTAATGAAAGTAGATAAGTAATAGTCTCATTTTACCAGTGGAGAAAATAAGGTTAAAGAGGTAAGTTTCTAGCCCAGTTTCTGAGCCAGGCAGGAACAGAGCTGCATTGTAGCCTGTATGTCTCTTTGACTCCAGAACCCTGTGCTTCTCTGACTCCAGTTCAGTAGTTAACTGTGAGAAATACACA